TTTAAGTACCCTGATAACCGGTTGAAGACTAATTTTAGATTAGAAAAATCCATGTCATTAACCACGTCAGCAAATAATACTGAGTTGGATACCACATCATTCGTCGCATCAACATGATAACCGGTTAATGTTCAACCGGTTACCCGGGTACTTAAAATTTTTAAACTTTACATCTTAGTTACCAAAATGGAAGTTTTGATAATACGTTATCCAAAATAGGAATCAAGTTAAAATATGTTATTTCTTCATGCAATTTACCCAGTAAATATTTAACTAAAGTTTAATGGTTTCAGTATAACTGCTTGTAAAGTTGAGTCCGTTAAGAACCTTGTTATGCTGTTTTGGTTTTAATTTGAATTCTAGATTAATCGTTAAACTTGTTCATCTTGAAATGAATATAATTTGTGAACTCAAGTTTGTTGTTTATACCCTTGATCTTGGTTACAAACACTGAATTTTTACTGACTTCATCATGCTTCTGGGTTTTTCAGTACAAATAAAGGAGGTAAATTTTCTCTTAATATTTTTAGACATTGTCTTATTTTCTTGAACCCATGAAACCAATGAACCCATGAAACCTAATTCGAACCAATTTTCACCATTACTGATCATTGACTCATCTGTCTCTCAATATGTCAGTATTCTGATGGTTACGAATTCAATAAAGTCTCTTCTAAGTGAGTTGCGGAAAGTGGAGTTTTGTCCTTTAGGATTGCCTTTCTTACGGTTAATTGTTATTGGTTTCCATTCATCGCAACTCATGTATCACCTCAAATAGTGGTTTATGACAATGCGATATTTTAGTATTCCTTATTGACTCCTAGAATACGGATAGACATCTACACTCCAATATTATTGGCTGTAGTTTAACATGCAGATAAACATCGTACTAAAATTTTCTTGACTGTTATCCACTGTTTCTATCATATTCTTTGAAGAAATATCTATTATGATGTTTACTGTTTTAATATTTTTTACGAACTAACTGACTTATCTTTTTTTTTATTTACAAGAAAATTTTAAGTCTGGATACATTACGTTAAGTACACAATTAATATATACGTATGTATGAGGTTATTTGTTTACCTATTTAATAGTTTCATTAATAGGCAACCTATGAATCATTAAGAGGTGAATCTTGTTTGGCAAAACAAAGTCTGCCTCTTAATGGTTATAAAACGACCATCTGAATGATTTTGTATATTGTGTTTCCCTTAACCATTCAGTGTCATAATTTCATTGTAAATAATTATCAAACAATTATATTTCATTTTATATTATATCATAAAAGTCTCTTAATCATTATAACTATTTAATCATTTTACACAAAATCATTCAAATGAAAGAGCTACTATATAAAAATTGTACGGATATGTTAGTAGAAAAGTAATGTGTTTTTCATGCATGAGATAGGGATAGGGATTAAGATGATTGATTATATGTATAGAGTCAGCAAGTAGCAATAATTGATTAATTGTTGATTATCCACTCACGAATTTCAAACGTTGAAAACTTGGGATATTGTTAAAAGACAGCTGCCTATCATCAACTATTGAATGACTACATAGAGAGACACACACATACATACATATACATACATATATACATACATACTATACATACATACATATATATATATATATATATATATATATAGTTGGGTTCACGTGAGACCCGTAAAACCAATTTATGTTCATTGATCAATTTTATAAGCTAATGATCTAATGGTCTAAAGTTGCACGATGACAATTTTGTGATTATTGAGAAGTCTCGTGGCAATTTTGTAATTATGAATGTTCAGATTGTAGATCTAATCCAAGGGTTGAGAATTGGTCTTACGGGTCTCACGAAAAAACCTTTGGTCTCACATGATCCCAAGTCTATATATATGTACATATGTAAACTTGAGATCACATGAGACCAACATGTTTTTGTGAGACCACTTTTTTATACTTGAAATTTCATAATAAAACGCTGTGAAGGTTCTCAAGTTTATATATATATATATATATATATATATATATATATATATGGGAAGGGTTCAAACGAAAACACCTTCATTTTTTAAGAATGCGAGAACACCCTTTTACTATAGACAATCACACGTGATACTATTATTCCACCACATGTGATACTTATTCAGAGACCCAGACGATTTTCGATGCGATCTTGGTTGCGGGGCAAGTCGCCCTTACACCACTAATCCCCCTCACATGTGATAAGAGTATTGTGTGATACTAAATCATAGACGCAAGCAACCTTTGGCGCGACCTAAGTCGTAGAACACGTCGTTTGCACATCACAGGGTCCCGCACGTGTATTATTAGACGTAATAAGGATGTTATCACATTCTCGTAAAATGGAGATGTTTTCGTTTGAACCTCCACCTATATATATATATATATACATATATATATATATACATATATATATATATGTATATAAAATTAGACAATGACATATATGATCATGAATGAGTTAAACTTTTATAATATACTTCTAGTATAAATACATATAATTAGTCGAGTTTAAGTGTAAAAATACGTAATTCAACACTTATGAGAATATTATATATATATATATATGTGTGTGTGTGTGTGCACGTGTGTGTGTGTTTTCGTAGTCGAGTTTTGGTGTATGGTTTTGGGTGTAATTTAAATCGAGCTTTTGGATTTGATGGATTTTTTTTAAAGCTATATGAACTCTGTAATTTAGTTTTTTAGGAGGTCAGGAGTTCAAACTTCACCAAAAGTGAAGAAGGTGCGTGAGTTTATTTGTTCTATTTATCGTATATAAATATTACATACTTAAAAAAAACTGTAATTTGGTTTGATTATTTCTTAAACCAAGTTCGAACTTTGATCAAGAAAACTATCGAATACATATTTTATATAGTAATTACAAATTTGCTTTTGTTATTAAAAAACAAAATAGTATATCATATTTGATAATAAATACTAAAGACTTGTACATATACATATAAAAGGAGGTTCAAACGAGAACAATAACCAAATAGAATAACATGAAAACACCAAAATCACGTGTAAAATCACGTGGTTTTACACCAACGGTCATTGCAAGGATGTGCTGGCTACATGACCTGCGACCAGTTGCATGAATCACATGTGATTTGTACGTGATTTTTTTTTATTAACCTGGATATCTAACTCGTTATGCGAGCCAACTAATCTCATGACAACCACCCGATATGCAGGTAGCCCAGAGTCATCACATTTGAACTTCCGTGACTACAAGGGGATTGGTTATACATGATTTCAGTATAAACTCACATGTAATTCGACTGTTTTCTTATTCTCCAGTCTCTCTATATTATTATATATGGATATATAAGTTATATGATAAGTTTTTGTTTTGGGAGTGAACATATCATGCATTTTTGTGCTTATCCATAAAATAAAATGTGTAGGGTGAAGGAGAGGATGTGATGAGGTCCTACTTCATCCATTAAGTCCTGCTCCAACCTTAATTTTTATGTGGATTTCCTAAATAACTTGCCTTATCTTCCCATCTTTATTCCAATCCATCCCCCTTTTTTAATTTAATAATAATGGAATGGATATCAAATTATTGGTATTTTTGTGATGTTTGTCATCCAAGATTTTTATTGAACAGATGTATCTTTAAGGTCGATTAAAGGTCTGTAAAGTCGTTTTATGTTTTTAGCTGAATTCTACTATTTGAGAGATTTTTTTTTTCTAGTTTTGGTTGATTTCAAGGGATTTTTTCGGTTTTTTGGTTGATGTCACTTGTATTTTTTTTAATATCTCGAAACACCCATCAAAGTTTAGGGTGTACACTTTTTATACTCCAAAAAAATTGTACTTGTAAAGATCGGTTGAGCGGTTGCACATGAACCTGATGGGGGTTTCATAGGTCTGCCCTGGTAGGGATGTGCAGAAAATTAACCTATCAATTGAAACAATTGATCCAATTAGAACCGACCGACCATAATTGGATATCCATTTGTAATTGGATTAGATCGGATTGAAAATTTCAACATCCAATTTGGATCGGGCCGGTTCTCGGATGGAATCCCAAAACCGAATCGAACCGATCGACCTCCAATTAATCATCCAATGACCATCCAACCATTCCAACTATCATCCAATTAATTTATTTTTAAATTGTTTAAATTGGAATTTGTTTTATGCGAGGCTTTGAATTTTTAATTTCCTTTGTGTTGGTCTTAACACATATTAAAAATGATTAATTAATTTGTATCATTGTTAGAGAATTTGATTGAATTAACACACTTGATGAATCCAATCCAATCCAATCCAATCGGATCATCCATCGGATTGGATTGGATCGGTTATCCAATGTTAATGAGATCAGATCGGTTGGCAAAATCCAACATCCAATGGATGATTGGATTGGATCGGTTCGGTTCCTTTTACATCTAATGGATGTTAACCGATGAACAGGCTTATGCGCTGGTATGTATGTAGATATATCTTTGTATATGTATAAAAGAAACCGGATTTGACTTTAAATACCACCCGCCTATCCTTAAGACACACGATTTATTTTCATATGAGAGACCGATAATGTGTTATTAAACATGAAATGTTGTAATACGATCAAAGAGTATGAAATGCGGTCGTAAATAATCTATAAATTTTAAATTAAAAAACCTCTTAATATATAATATGAATAAGGGGTCGTTTACCTAAACATTTACCCTGTAAACGCTTGACGGTAAAACTCAATTCTATTGCTTACTCATCGGGTAACATTTTAGTCTATCAAAACGACATCGTATGCAACAATTTACCTGATAAGCGTTAACCTTGGTAAGAATCGTCACCATCACTTACCGGGTAAGACTCTCGGTCCGTGCCTTAGCTCTTACTAGGTAAGATTCTTGGTCTTTGTCATATTCATCCAGTAAGAGAATGTGACTTGATAAACGCTTATCCGAGTAAGCATTTGTTAAACAGACCCATAAGACATTAGATTATTTGTCAAATGTACCTTACCTCATCAACTCTCCATCTTTTCTTTACAAACCAGGGTTTTCACGGAAACAACTGTTGCATTGCGTTCATCCCTGTTGAATCTTGCAAAGTTGCAATGACTAAATACAAGAATCAAATTGAAGATGAAAATGAGATGGTTGGAACTGGGAAGGACAAGACCTTTTCGAAATTCTTCTCCCGAACTCGTCTTTTTACAATATATTGATCCACAACCACGCGATTAACAACGGTGTCGCCACATCAGCAGGTCGATTATAGCTCCTCTATCATCACCTCATCAACTATTTTGAGTAGCTGCAAGCACACACAATCGAGAATAAGTCGAAAATAAACCATACAAACTCGGTATATCCACATAGAAGTAGGGTTTTTGGGATGTAAGAAGTACTCAGACCAGACCTCTTCCCCATTCCCCAAAGATCCAAACCAAACCAAAGGAACCCGTTACATCCCAACTGGAGATGGGTCTCGGCAGGGTAAAAAATACGCGTACCTAACCTCCAGAGGCAGACCCATAATTTTTTTCAAGTGGTCGCACAACTTGACTATAAAAAAATATCTATTTCATTTTCTCTTCACAATATTAGTATAGATTTGTTGGTTAGTTCCTTGTCCTTGCATAGAAGAGACTCATGTTCGAGTCCTGTATCCATATATTTTCAAAAACACAAAAGGTATATAAAAAGACACCAAAAATTAAGCTAATAAACAACAAATTTGACAACATTGGGATTCAAATCCAAACAAAGGCAGGAGCTCCCATCTCAGCCATTAATGTCTTATGTTAACATGTCAATTTCAAAAACTATATGGTGGCACCCAACAAAACATTACAGTGACACCCTTGAAAAACATAATTCCCCCCCCCCCCATGACGGAACCATGATGTGCTGGCCCGTGCCACCGTATCATTCCATGTGGGTCCGCCCATGCTGACGTCTATCCCAAAGAGTAGAGCAACTGTTTCCCCGAAAACCCCGGCTTGTGGAAAGTGTAACGAAAAGAGAGAAATATGAAAGGAAATAACTCGCATTTTAACCCAAAAAGAAGGATCATAATTTTGCTACAATAACGAAAAGTTCGAGACCCTTGAGTTGCAAAGTCCATATTGAAGCAGATGGCACAATTGGCTCAATTATATCGGAAGTCTAAATGTAAATGGAAAAGCGAGAATGCTATATTATATTTAACTAAACTTACCGCTTGCTTCTTCCAGGATCATTTGCGTAGAAACACCCGATGAGAAGCCAAGCTTTAGCATGATCTCCTCTAGACGTCTCATGTTCGTAAGGTATAGATAACCAACCTACATAACAGGCGGATAACAATTAGGTAATCAACCATAAATTTTTGAAGATCCTAAACTTCTATTACAAACTCCAATTAGGTGCTATTCATTTCAGTGTAAGATCCCACATCGGTTGGGGAGGGGAACAAAGGTTGCCTTATAAGGAACTGGACACCTCCTCTATTAGACGTGTTTTAAAACCATTAGTCCAAGTGTGGACAAAGCGGAAAATATCTTGTACGGTTAGCCTGGGATGTTACAGATGATATTATTTAAAAAAAATTAATATGTGTTGTATGGTGTGGAGGGAAATAGAGATTTATTGTGGGCATACAAGAACTGACCAGTGTCTCCAAAGATGATGCTCTGTTGTAAACTGCTACACCAGCGCGCTTTTTGGTCCGTGTTTTGGAGGAAGAAATATTCTTTCCCCAACGAAGAACGTCCCTATATTAGAGGCTTCATCAGATGCAAACCAAAAAAAATTGAATCTTCAGTTTGCAATGAATAATGATGCTTTCAGAAATGAATATCCGAAGTATCTAAGCAGGTGTTAAGTTCAGGGTTCTTATGTTTTCCATCACGAACAAAGTTTAAGTTTCCCCGTGGGAGAAACAGTTGATTTCGGGGTGGCATATTTGTATAAACTAGTGATGGTTCGAGTCTAGCGGTCACAGTGTGGGAATCACAATTCCGGATTGGACTCCTTGTGGGCACCGGACTCTTAAGCCATTCACCTCACAGGCTGTTGTGTACCTGATTTGTCTCATGCTCTTGGGGCTGGGCGGTGTGGGCCTGCTCGGGGGTTTACCGTTTAAAAGAACAATGGACAAATTTTCGATCATCAGCTTATAATTTGACCGCTGTATCTTTTTTGGTTTCCTTAGGGTGTGTTTGGTATTCAGATAGGATAAGACAGGACATGACAGTTGTATAGTGTTTGGTAAGACGGAACTAGACAGGACAGAATAGATAAAAGAACTAATTTACCCCTAATGAGTTGTATATATATTTTATATATTTTGATCAATTTATGTAATTTATTAAATTATAATAAAATAAATATTTTTTACAATAAAATATATCGTTTGAAGGTTTTCGTCAATACGATTAAAATGACACCAAAATTATTTTATACATTTCCTATATTATTTTTTATTATTAATATTTAATAAATTAATCAAATATAGAAAACGTGTAAAATAATATTTTGAGAATAATAAAGTGAAAGTTTAAAGAGCATAAAATACAATAAATAAAATTTAAAAAATGAAATAAGATGCAGAGAGAGAGAGAGAGAGACGTATTTGATGTTTTAGAGGAGATTAGGTTTCAGGTTGAGGTTATATCGGTAAAACATAAGTATGTTCCCCTTGTTCCATTGGGGTCGAGGTGGAACAAGCCTGTTCCACTTTGTTCCCATCTCTTCCACATAAAAGTCTGGCAAAACGTGGAACAGTGATCTCTATTATGTCATGTCTAGTGTACCAAACGCATCCTTAATACCATATGAAGTCCACCAAGTTGTACACTAATTGCCACCTGCCACCTTCTTGCTAAAGAGATTGTTCTCTATGAGGTCCATTATGAGTATTTTACTCATCAAATTCGCCTATGATAGAATCTACTCGCTAAATCACTATACCCAAGGACTTAGGGAGTAATTGAAACACCTCGGAGGACAAATCCAAGCCAACAATTTATACTAGTTTCTAGTTTTTATTCAAAGATGATGAAAATTGTTGTGGATACTTTTTCTTGACAATTATAAGAGACAAATATAAATCTTGTTTTCTGAGTGAACTATAATCCACCCACAATATTCTCCTTTTCCTGTATTGCCAGGAAGACAGCTTCACTTCACAAAATTATTACCCGGTATCCAAAAATGTCTTTTGCTATATTCTTTATATGCAACATTTTGAACCACCACAAAGGTGACTCATACTAGTGAATAATTAAACAAAAATGGCAAGACTGACCTTTCTTCTTCAGATAATACTTTATCATTCAGTAGTTTCTTGAGCATTGCATCCTGATGATAGTCAAACATGAATTTCAATAAACTGCCTAAAATGAAAGTAATGGTGCAATTTATAGAACTCAATCTGCAAAAGAATGGTAGAAAAAAAGGTAAAACCAAATTCAACCAGTCATGTTGCTGGCAAGTTAAGCAACTTAGGGCATTATTGTTAGCAGCTTAATGAGCTTGATGAAACTCACAGCTTATTCGGTCAGCTATACATGACTGTTTGGTAGTGGCTTAATGATATAGCAAGTGGCTTATTCAGTAAGCTTCTAGGGGAGCTTTATGCATAAAGTCAAGTTTTTTTCCAAACCTTCCCCTCCCAGTTAAAAAATAGTCTCATTCCATTTATGAAAAAACCCTCATCAACAAAACTTTCTCAATCTATACAGACAATATTAATCCACACAGATAGCTTTATCCATAAATAACTTGATGAAAAACCAACGAAACAGCCCCTTAGACCCACATGATGAGAAGCTGGGGAGACTCTTTGGGCTAAATGCATACAACAATTAGTACGACCTAATTGCACCAATATTTTCTTGCAAATGTACAAGCAAGAAGGAGGCAGGGAGCTTAGAGAGACGTGTTGGTGAAAGCTAGAAAATAAGGCAAACAGAAAAAGTACAGGGGGGGGGGTGTAGTTGGTCAAAAGCAATCATATTTTATTTTAACATATGTATATATCTGTAAAGAAACATTATTAATATAACTCAAAAATGGGCCAGTTCAAGCATTCTAGGTGTTGTACAGGATGAGATGGTTTCGTATCATACCTGGGCTTCACAGCGTACTACTGCCATCACACGATCATTATACTCTTCAATACTTAATGGTGGAAACAGAAAATGCCTGCGGGCATATAGCTGCACACATGAATAGGCAAAAACAGTAAGGGTCTATCGAGTTGGATAAAAAAAATAGCAAGCAAACGAATAACGAATGGAAATTTCAGCAATTGCAAACGGCAAAAGATAGCACTAGCACTAGCACGAAAAGGCGCGACTTAACCCGCCAGAAAAGTTGCTTTCCTCACTGTTTGACGAGTTTTTGGTCGTTTTTGATAAGTTTTTTTCATGGTTTCTGATTTGGATAAAATCTAATTTTTAGTTTTTCCTTATCCAAGTTAGTTATAGACACAAACCTATATATATATATATGTGTGTGTGTGTGTGTGTGTGTATTTTCTCATCATTTAAATCCAACTCTAAATCCTCTCTTTCTCCTCATATAATTTTTGCAGAAATGTTCATTGAAGAACATGTTTAGTTGTTGAACATGTCTTATTCATCAGGGAATCCTGGGGGTGTATTAGCAATTAGCCATAATCTAAACAACCTTTTTAGTAGGGGCTAATAATATCCTAAGGACAGTGATAAATCACGTCCTAATCATTGTTTTTGCTGCACTTTTCTCCTTCTATTATCTTATTTTTTAAAACACACAGCACCTATGGTTTGGGATCAATATTTACTCACTGTTAACATTATACATCCGTATATGCTGCAACTATGAATTGTCATTCTTTTATAGGCAAGACAGTGATTCGTATATGAAGTGCATTCGATATTGACGTAATTTTACAATTCCGTTATTGACATTATTTTACAATTCCGTTATTGACATTATTTATCAACTATTATACTTTCTTTTCATCACAGCCCCATTGCGCTTGAGTTCATATTAATTTGGTGTATCTAAACTCTACTTAGTTCGTCAAAGTTTAGCAGGATTTCATAGAAAATATGAGAATTACAAAGCATGCATCCTGGGAAAATTGAAGCTCAAGTCAGCTGTAACATAAGGATCATATGGTATTAGTTATTGGATAAAAGTGTCGTAGCCAACAAAGAGTTTTTCCTCCACATCAACCGTGTCCTTTATGCAAGTAAGCATAGCCACTTAGCCAGGATCCATGTTAAATTACCTCGGTTCAGCAATTAATGTATATATTTTTCCACAAAATGAGAGTCCTGTTTACAGTATAATGAATGATTTTATCTGGTTGATGAAACATGGAAGAGTATCGGTTGCAAACATTGGATCCAAACATGGTTTTTGCAGGTTTTAGAAAGTGGGTTTTAGTTCTAGGACAAGATGAAAAGTGCCTTAAAATACAGACTAAGGGTCTGTTTGTTAGCAACTTAATGAGCTTGGTGGGACACACAACTTATTCAGTCATCTATATGTAATTGTTTGGCAGTGGCTTAATGATACACATAGTGGCTTATTCAATAAACTTCTAGGGGGAGCTTTATGCAGAAACCCAAGTTTTCTCCAAATCTGTCCCTCCCAATGTTTTCCAAACCTGCCCCTCCTAGTTAAAAAAAGAGCTCCTTCAATCTATAGAAAAAGACCATTCCAAACAAAAACCTTCTCAATCTATACAGACAGCTTAATTCACACAGACAACTTTATCAATACGGCACTTGATGAAAAACCAACCAAACAACCCCGAACCTGTGTAAGATAGATGTTAATGAACAAATAAAATCATCATTTGCAATTTATGCACCCAATTTGCAACATGATTTAGCACAAACCTCGTATATGCAGTCTCCAATGTATGCTAGTGAGGCAGCATTGTACGTCGAGCGAGGTTTTTCCACTTTCGGCGCGCTCGGCAACCATGTGTCATAGCCCATATATGTTTCTTCCAAACGAACTGTTGAAAATTCACAATTTCAATAAAAAACACATAAGTATACAATCATTACACTCCCTAAGTCTCAGTATAAAAATTCCCATTAATCTGTTACAAATAAAACACAACTCTACTGATTTCGTGCACACCAGGTGTTCGATGAAACTCCACAATGTAAAACATGTAGCAGAATGATACCTTGACTTGGAGTTGGAGATTTTCGACTGAGAAGAGCCGAAACAGATATCGAATTGCGTTCTGGTGAGTTAGATTTTAGGGTTTGTTCAGGGTTTGAATTGGCGGGAGTAAGACTGTTGGGATTTTTGGGGTAAGTACGATGGGGATTGTAAGGGAGTCTATGATGCGTATCCCATGAAGCTCTAACCTTCACTGGAAAAGCATGAAGAGCTGTAACAGCAGCAGCCATGAATTTAGCTTCGAAGATTTATTGGGGACGGTAGTTTTGCTTGGTTGGTAGATTTGCCGGTGACCTCCCCTTGTTTAAACTTTATTGATAACGGCCATGAATTTGTTAAGATTACCCGCTAACAAAATAGACTAGAAAAAGGCCAAATTGTATAATAAAAACCTCGGCCCAAGTCTTTTTTCCCAACGTTAACCTGGGTATCCAACTTGCTATGCGAGCCGATTAATCCCAGAACGATACCTGCTTTGTAAATAGCCCGGAGTCACCGTATTTAAACCTGCCACAAGGGGATGGAGTCAAGCTCAAACCAATTAGGCATCATCCTTGTGGTTAAAAAAATGTTCGGTTTTTTAGACTCAGGCTTAGGCTAAAAAATGTTCGATCGGGTTTTTAAGATCGTTCGGGTTGAACTCGGCTTTTTCAACCCGACTTTTTTGATCGAGCTTAAGCATGGGCTTATCCCACATTTTCGACTTAATCGGGCTTTGACGTCGATCTGAACCGAACTTCAGGCTCATTAGGTCCGTGCTTTTCAAGTTGGACCTGGCCTGGATTTCGGGTTTTTGGGGTTATTTTTGCATCTCTAATACATACTACAAAAACAATAGTTAAACTACTAACTAATAAGTTAGTTGTCAAGCGTTTTATGGAAACATTGTCTTACTGAACGTATGTTTTTTTCTTTTAGCTTACATCAAACATGACTTTTTGGATAAGCTCGGTACTGTAAGCGAGCTTATGACATGTCAAACTTGCCCTTAAAATTCCAAAAAGACAAAAACTAGAAAATATTTGTTTAAGTATGTAATTTGAAAATGTTGCTCACGTTAAGTTTCAAATAACGACGTATAATTGAGTAATGTATAAAACTTTTATTTTGGTAGCTAAGATGTAAAGTTTTAAACGTATAAGTACTCGAGTAACCAGTTGAAGACTAATTTAGATTTTAAAAAATTATCACTAACCATGTCAGCAAATAATACTAAATTTGATACCACATCACTCTCTACATCAACATAATAATTAGTTAATGCTTCACTGATTACTTAATTACTTAAATGTTTAAAATTTTACATCTTAAATATCAAAATAAAAGTTTTAAATGTGGTTTAAAATACCAATGAAGTTAAATTTTTGCCCAATTCAAAAATAGCAGGCAGGCCAAGCCCAGTTCGATTGGAAACCCAATTTCATGTCACTGGATCCAGTTTCACGGCGTCGTTCAGAACTTCTGCTGGCGTATGGTTTGATTTTGAAGAAAGGGAGATAGGCGAGAGCCTAGAGCGACGAGACGAAGCAAAGCACAGAATGAGTAACGAAACTCCCAAGCTCTATGTTCACAAACCTAAGAAAGGTATTTTTATCATTAAATTCAGCTTTCACGAACAAGTTTATGTAAAATTTGTATTTGATTTTCGTTTATGAATGTTAAAATTCGAAGTAGGTAGTTGTAAATTTTGATTTGTGTTTTTTTTTGGCACTTCAATGGTTGATTTGATTGTGACGATTTAGCTCAACTGAAGAAACATCTACAACAACAACAACAACAACAATCGCGTCCTTCTCCGTCACCGGTATCATCCTCATCGTCAATGGCTAGTCAATCTACTACTGTGTCTTCTTCGTCTTCGAGCGTTCCTCCGGCGCCACCGAAGGAGTCATTTGCACGCCGCTATAGGTTCCTTTGGCCTCTTCTCCTTGCCGTCAATTTTTCCGTGGGAGGTATATATATATATATATATTGCTTAAATTATTCGAGGTTGTAAGGATCATTTAGGTTTTATCGATTTCAATTTGTGTTACTATAACTTATTTGTGTCTGATTTCATCTACTGATCATGAATTAGGTTGATTAATGCTTCCTGAATGTATTTTGTCTGGGCTAGATCAGATCTCTGCATACATGGGGGTCTCAAGGATTTCTTGCAACATTTTTATAACTTTTCTGTGGCTTAAGTTGGAGATTTATAGCTACCAGTGTACCAGATATTTGGAGCCAGTCCTTTGCAATTATTGGGTCATTGTGTGAATTGCAGGTTGTATACTTGTATATAGTTTCGATTTTTAACAGTCCTGGACTATTTTTTAGCTTGTATGCCTAAGCCACAGGTTTAGGATTTTGAATGAGATTTGGATCTTTTTCGTATTCTAAGGCTGAGGGATTAAGTACTCCCGTTTTGGATTTGCTGAACTATCAAGATCTAGATATAAGGTTGTTGATACCATCATTGGATTTTGTTATCCCACCATATAGAACATAAATATCTTAATTGCATCCTAATGCAAACCATTTCTGAATCAGCACATCCTGTTTGGCCCTAATGTAACCCCCCTTGAAGTATCAACTAGTGGAGGTAGAACCCTATTAGATTACAGGAAAGCAAACAGTTGGTTGGCAACTAGTTTACTTTTGAAGCACTTGTTTTATGCTATCTTTAGGATTCAGGCAAAGAAGGGATATTAATTTATCAAACTGACTTGAGCGTGCTCTTTCAGGTTCACTTCACTTCACAAGTTCACATAAGAAAATCATTTATAGGTTGTGATATTGCATGGTGAATTGCCAATGCAGAATGAGTGATGTGGATTTATCATCACTGTTTACAAGCATATAGCCAAACGATGTTAACAAATTCAAATCAACTTGGACAAAAGTGACATTTGTCATTTAATGAGAAATTCATGCCAAATACACCATTTGATGGCATAACCGCATAAATATGTAGCCATGTTTGAGCCTCTAAGGCTCTATGTATATCATTTTTTGTCACTTACAAAGCATAATTTGTCTACCCACATTCAAGAATATGGGTTGATAATCAACTTTTCTATATCAGGTCCCTTGCCCAGAGGTTTCTCTTTAGGGGTTGCTATTCATAACCCCTCACTCACATACACCTAGTTCTTACCCCTCCATCTCGCTCACATACCCCCTGTAGGAGGGGATATGAATAGATTTCACCTTCTCTTTATGCTATATGAGTTAATAGGTGTTCCTTGAAAGATTGTCCAAATGCAGAAAATGGCTTCATCCATCTGAATTAGTTTTTCTCCTGTGACGTGACACTTATTAAGGATGTATAATTGAGCCAAGTAAAGGTTTAAATTTTCCATTTTCTCCTGTGACTTCATGCTTTGAAGTTGGATGAATTACCGTTTCCCCCTTTCTCGGCACTCCCCACTCGCAAACACACACACACCCCTCAGTTCTTTGATCTAGCCATCTAGGATTCACTTGTGCGACAACACTTCTGTCTAGGATTTCAATTATATTATGTTTTGAAGTTGTATTAGCAATGGCGCAATAAAACGAAATTCCCTTTCGTTATGACAAATGAGTAGAAATGGGATTTTTAGAGACTATAAAAAAGTTATTTAAATTGTCTACAGGGGCGGATTTATTTATAGACGAGGGGGTCCCGTTCCCCCGCTCTATTGTCCTAACATAGTGGAATTTGTTTTCCAAGTCGCGTCAACCTACTAGTAGTGTTGTTACCTGTGGCATTATAGGTTGCAAGTTGAATCACATTAATTTGTTGGTAAGATCAGCAGAAATCACGCCCATGCTGCTATCACAGCAGCCATATCTTCAGCTTCGAGCCCACTAAACAGCCAGCATTAAATCTAGGCCTAGTCCGTGAACACTCTTTAGGGCAGCGGAAGAATAAAATATAAGCCGGGAAGACAAGGAGGGTTTTAATATTTTCTAAATTTATTTACATTTTGGCAGTATTTTTGATGAAGATGAAGATGAAGATAAAGATAAAATAACCATGTAATTTTCAGTAAGATTGTAAGGTAAGGTTGTAAGGCTAAGGGGTCGTTTACCAAACATTTACTGCGTAAGTGTTTACTTGCAAGAGACGCCACCCTCACTTACCTTATCGATAACATTCCCAGCCATCAACATGGATTGTTAGTAATTGTCTTAAACCCTGTAAGCGTTTACCGGGTAAGAGTCTTTTCTTTCACCAGGTAAAACTCTCGGTCCTTGTTGTGCCCCATTGCTTCTTACCTGGTAAGATTCTCAGTCATTTTTATGCTCAATCGGTAAGGTAAGTGACACCTGGGGTGGTAAGCGTTTACCCTGGTAAGCGTTTAGTAAACGGCCCTTAAGTGCCTACCCAAAAAAAACCACTTGGGTGTTGGGGTGTTGCAAAAAATCACTTGTATAGCATTTTTAATGAAAACCATTTTTTTATAAAATTATTTTTTGTTTTGTTTTATATTATGCTAATTATTTTGTGCCCCCGCTTGGAAATTTTTCTGGATCCGCCTCTGTTGTCTAGTCTTTTACTATATTTAGTATATCAAGTGACTACTTGGAATGTTTCAGTCATTTTTATCTTTTGTAGCTTACCTTTTCATGAGAACCAAGAAGAAGGAGAACATTGAGGAAGAGGTGGCAGCCGCCATTTCTCCTCCTCCGTCTGCCGCTCTTGGAAATACATCAACATCCGCTCCTGCTGTTATCGAACCGGTGAAATTACTCGAACCAATACCATTGGATCAGCAGCGCGAGCTTTACAAGTGGATGTTGGAGGAGAAAAGGAAATTGAAGCCAAAGGATCCCGAGGAGAAAAAGAGAATCGATGAAGAAAAAGCCATTCTGAAAAAATTCATTCGAGCAAAATCCATCCCGTCTTTGTGACCATAGGTTGGTAATTGGTTCACGTTCATTCTCGAATTGTATATTTAGGTAGCGTTTGGAGTGCAAATGGAACTGAACTGGATGGGATATGATTGATAGGTTTGTCCAGAGTTTGGTATGACTAAAACAAGACCGGATTAATTGTCTGTTTTGTGTTTGGTAAGCGGACAAGACATGACGAATTCGTTAAAATGACTAGATTGCCCCTGAATGTTGTTTTTTATGTTAGGATTCGGGTATATATATATTTTTTTATTAACCTGGATATCCAACCAACTATGCGAGCCGACTAATCTCATGGTGACCACCTGCTTTGCAGGTAGCTCGAAGTCACCGCTTTTGAACCTCCATGGCCACAAGGGGTTTTTTATTCCTCCACATTTGAACCCTAACTTTGCAGCTATGAACTCCTTGTCATTTTTAATCTCATGTTCATCCATAAATTGTGTTTTAGAAGGGAATTGATTTGGTACAACTCGGTGCACCTTATTAGTGTTGACATTCAATTAGAATTGATCCAAGGGTGGAGATCTTTGCTTACCCTTCTCACCGTAGCTTCCCTTCTCACTGGAACCCAACCCCTAAATTAAAAATCTAAGCATATATGCGTATATAAGAAACATCATGGTCTCTAAGGGCTGTTGACCAAACGCTTACCCGGGTAAGCGCTTACCAAGTCACATTACTTTACATGATAAATATGGTAAGGATTAAGAATTTTATCCGGTAAGAGCGAAATAAGGACCAAGAGTCTTGCTCGATAAGAGTGAGGCAAGGACCAATAGTTTTAACCGGTAAGTGAGTGCGACAACTCTCACAGTTAACGCTTAGATGGTAAATTGATGCATACAATATTGTTTTGGTAGACTAAAATCTTACTCAATAAGTATGTGACAGTGTTGAATTTTACTGGTAAGTGCTTACCGAGTAAGCATTTGGTAAACGACCTCTAAGCCTCCTTACAAAATAAATGAGAGGTATAGGTCTTATTCCAGACACCACCTACCTGTTTTTCGAATACATGATTTACCTCTCCTATGATGGCTAGTGAAACCGATACCATGGAAGTTTGCAAGTGTGCATATGCATACAAAGTATGTTGTATGTATACAGTATCAACGCGATTTCCAGTTTTTCTTTAGCAAGAAAATCTCTTTGAATTTCTCGGTAGTGCTTAGTCACTACCGTAACCAGCAGAAAAATGAATTTGAGCGCTGATGTAGCTAAGAGCGACCTTCACAGTCGATTCATATTGTCCAAGCGGTAATGGTAGTATCTTGATGTCGATCGTAAATTCATACTCCTGCAGTGCTGATTAATTAGGTTAAGGAACTTGAGGTCGATAAATCCACGAGTCTATAAATTCATTTCAGACAACAACAATTTTATCAAAAGATTAATTGAACTTCCAGTTGAAAACAATGTTTCTGTGTTCGGAACAGATATAAGACCTAAATACATCACGCCTCATATTCAACCAACAGTTGAAATATACAGTGTCGGTATGATTTGGTTTGATTTTGTGTTTTTCTTTGCATGTGTTTGACTAAGATTTAGTAGGTTTTATGCATATGATTGGGGCACAAACAATATTAAAATCATAAATCTATGAAATTATTGTACTAAAGCAAGTTGCTAGCCAATGTGATGTGGATATGGTTGTTTTATGAATAAAAAAATGGATTACAATATAACTTTTTTTAAATATATAATATTTATATACGTCAAATGCAATAAATAAACTCATACACCCTCCTTATCTTTAATAAGGTTTGAACCTCTGACCTTTTAAGAGGCCTGTTAAGATAAAGTCTTTTTTTTTAATTATATTATAATGTTTGTATACAATAATAATGAGAGTATGGCATATCCACCCAATAAAAAAGATGGTCAAACCCAAGACTAGAATATATTAAAAAAATCAATAACTTTCAAAGATATAAACATCATTCATTGCCATGGGTTGTCTAACAAGTTAGAAGTTGTACTTTGATTTCCATTCTTTATATTTTTTATATAATGTTATGTAATTTGACCATTTTGTCCACCTTATGCAAAGGTGAAGTTCCTTTTTCAACAGGGTAGATTGGTCATTTTTTTATATATAAAAATGATTGGAAGATATGTGATATGTTTTTATAGAATTTAAATCGTCCTATACTAAATAGCAGGTGTCGGATATACATACATCTCATTTAAAAGAATTTGACAAGTTTTCTTGTTTATGATTTTATTGTAATCGTATGCAATTTGACTATTCTATCCACTTTATTTAAAGGTCGATTTCCTTTTCACAAGGGTAGATTGGTCATACTCTTTTATAAAAAAAAGATGTTTGGAAGATGCGTAATATGCTTTTATGGAATTTAAACCGTTCTACTCTTTATAGTAGATGTCAGGTACTCGAATCTGCCAGCATCTCATTCTCAGTACTATGTTTTCAAATAAGAGCATCAACAGTAGAGGTTCTTTTGAAAAGTTTTTTGATACATACTATGACAAAAACAATTAGCTTTTTGCTTGTACAATTATAACCTTGGTTTTTGCTTGTGGGTCCCATTTTTCAAAAAAATGTCCACCGTTGAGGATGCTCCAAGTATATCTGGTTTGGTTATTAAAAGGGCCTTTACAGTTTGACCTAGCAGTATATGGGCCATTGGTCTTTCCAACAATCAAGGGTTCAAACATCAACAAAGATGAAAATGGTGTGTAGTTCACCCATTGCATTTCTCATATATAAACATATATACTTCAAAAACATCGTTTAGAAAACCCGAGCTTTTCATTACAGAGATGATCTTTCCTACTATTCAGTCATAGACATCTTTCAAAAGAACCTCTGTTATCTGATTCAAAGTTATAACAGTATATATTAATAAAACCAAATACATAAATACTAGTAGATATCTTTAGCTAGATACCCATGAAATTAGTATCTAGCTTTTAAGCTTTGGTGTGGTCACTAAACAACTTTATTAATATATAATTAAATAAATTATAAAGCAATCAATTGCATAAATTACAAAGGAAACGTCTTCTTGTGTTGACCAAACCTACTTACAATCATTCTATTATTTTAATGTAAATGGAATTATCATTATTACTTGAGAGTAAAACTAAAACGTGCTCTACAATTTTTTTTTAATAAATTGCATGAAAACATAATATATTTTAATTTGATTTATATTTTGAATAACATATTTTCAAAACTTTCATTTTAGTACCTAAGATGTAAAGTTTTAAATATTTAAGTACCGGATTGAGGGGTTGGGGGTTGGGGTTTTGGAGTCTGATGGTGGGGGTTGGGGGTTGAAAGTATGTTACTCAAAATATGAATCAAGTTAAAATACGTTACTTTTCATGCATTTTGACCAAATTTTCTAAAGTATTTTGCTTATGTGGTTTTTAAAATTATAAGACGGCTATTGTACTTTGTAAAAACGTCTTAATCAGACTTTTTCGGTTCAAACTTTTTTGAGTTGGGCCTAGGCCCAAACCATCCCCCAAAATATTGGGTTGATCAAGCTTCGGACTCCCTAGGTCTGGGCTTTTTCCGGTGTGACTCATGTTGAGCCTCGACCAGTCTTCAGACTTACGGACCGTTTACTTAAACACTTACCCAATAAGCGGTTACAGATAAAATTCAATATTATCGCTTACTTACCGTGTAAAATTTTATTCACTAAACGCATCGTATGCAACAATTTATCCCGCTAAGCGAACCATGGTAAGAGTTATCGTCCTCACTTACAAAAGTAGACTCTCGATTATTGTCTTCACTCTTACCCTAGTACATTTTTAGTCATTGTCACATTCATTCAGTAAAGTAATATAACTTGATAAGTGTTTACCCGAATAAACGTTTGATAAACGGAACCTTAGAGTTTTTTATACATCTCTACATCATAAGTGTCAAGTTAAATTGTGGGTTAATGAAGTTATTTGAGTAATAATAATAATAAAAAATCTAAAATACATTTTAATAAATAAAAAACAAAAATTATAATTTATAAATTATAAATTATAATTAAAATTAAAATTCATTAAAATATTTTTAATAATTTATGGAAACATGAAAAGGTCCGCCGAATCGATTAAATATGTGTTGGATGATGAATGATTAATTTTCGTGGGTAATGATGAGTAGAATGTGTTGCCATTTATTTTTTAAATATGTTTTTATTTTTTAATTATTTTTTAAATATTTTTTTGAATATTTCTATTATTTTTAACTATTTTTATTTCTTAATTTTATGAAAAAATATAATGAGATAGTCACATGAAAGCACATTCTCAAGCCCCACCACCCATCATACCTACATGGGGACTTCTTTCATCCTATGAATCCTCTTTTAATTATACAAAAATGGTCCCTTCACTATTCCAAAACTTACACTTTTCATCCTTCCACTTTTATACTTTATCTCTTTACTACCTTCAATCAAGTTTTTCTATCCACACCACAACCAGAACGATAACTTATATTCAAGATGGTCCTCTTAAATATAATTCTATGATTTATAAATGAAAATTGAATATACCAAAGGGATTTTGTTCTAACGGTATCATAGCCATTGACCTCCTAGAGGTTTAAGCCTCATCAAAAGTGAGAAGGATGTGTGAGTTTATCTGTTGCATTTGCTGTATATAAATATTATATACTTCAAAAAAAAAAAAAAAAAACTAAAATGTTGAGGTGGATTTGGACCGGTTACACCCCTGTTGCTACTGTTAACATAATACCATCTTCAACAAGAGTGTGGGTCATAGATATTATGTGTAATGCACATAACTTCTTGAAAGGCGGATAAGAGCTATTATGCATTGTTTATTTTTCATTAAAACTCGTCATTTATTCCTTATTGTATATGTAATTGCCTTTAAATTCAGTTTATATTTGGTTAAAGTGGTATTTAAATAAATATGGAAACCCAAGACGATATGAGAAGGCATACATAACAAATTATGCAGTGTAAGTAGATTACTAGAAATTATGCATACTGAAAACACTACAAAACGATACTTAGACTTACATGATGTCTTTCTAAGGGGGTGTTTGGTTAGAGGTATTAAGCAGTAATCAATAAGAATGAAAATAAAAGAAACTGTTTGTTTTTATATAATATAATGAGCTCATTCCCCATAAGTCCAAAGTTTCATTCCAGGTTAAACTTGGAGGAATGAAAATTTATTCCCATTTTCATTCGTTTG